TGGAGAGGCCGTAGGGGGCCCGTGCGTTGTGTTTTGGGCAGTGGCTGGGGCCGAGTGCCCGGCCGACCCAAACCTCAGACACCAACTCTGGTTCTTGGGACTTGCTTTAAACTTAACAGGTTTAAAAAAGAACTGTGTAGAATCACACTAGGCAGAGAGGATCCAAATGTAGATACTCAGGTACTGCAGGGAGCACATGTTAACCAGTTTAATTTACAGACAGAGAAAACACAGACCAGAAGGCTGAGGAAAGGTCCAAACAGGGGACACTGTCCAAAACTAGGGAATGATCCAAACACCAGGAAATAACTAAATAATACCAGCAGCACAGAGGAGCAGAATTCTGATGCTAAGGGATCACAAAAGCTACAGTGTGCACAAAAGACAGTCTGGCACTGAACACAGGTAGCAGACAAGCTTTTATACTGAGGGAGCTAATGATAGTAAGTGTATACAGCTGTAGGTAGTGTAGGCAGTGTGTGTGTGTGTGTGTGTGTGTGTTGGGGGGGTGTTCTAGAAAAGTCTACAAAGCACTAGGGCGAAAATAACATGGAGCAGATACAGGTTCAGGACTGGGTGTGATGGACTCAAAGTAATTTGTGAGCAGCCAACTCACATGGAGTAGCCACCTATTTAGCTTAATATATTTGATGTTTTCCTCCCTTCAGAGCAGGATAATGGAAGGTTCTCTTCTGCACTGCACACTAGTCAGTTATGTTAAACTGCTGCAGCGAGGTAACTACTACACGAGTCACAAGGTCTAATCTTTTAATTGACCTACAAAGTTCAGAAATACAGATGACTCCTGACCTTCCTTGTGCCTTGTCAACTGCATGAGAGGAGGAAACAGATAATGCGAGTAGACAGCTCAGGCCTGTGCAGCCACAGCTCTTCATTTATACATGACATCATTTGGGCACCTCTCTCTTTGCATGTCAGAAAGCCTGAACCTCTCACATCCCAGAGGAATCAGCGAATGGTGTAATATGCCACACAAACTGAGTTGGCAGATCATGTCAACTCTGAAGTTGATGCATCAAAATCCCCAGAGGTACACATGGCATAAGTGCACTTCTCAAAACTTCTACATTTCCATGTGCAGTACTTTTTTCATTGTTGCCTGGTGAAATTTTTACCAGCGACTATATTTAGGATGTGATACTTTGGACTTGAGCAGTGTGAGCAGTGCTGCAATTACTTGCAAGAGTTCCTTACATATAAAACTGGAGTGGGAAGTGGAGAGAAGAGACAACAGAAATAATGAACAAAAACAAGGTCTCGATGCAACTGCCACAGCAGAACACTGGATACTCACTTTAAAAATGCACACAGTATAATTCAAATATAATTAAAATGTAGAATTTTACTCTTTAATACGGTTTCCAACCAATCATAAACTATTTTTGTAAGAGTTTAAGTTTTGTAAGTGTCCCCTGTAAATACATTACAACACCCCAATTTGTCATCTTATATTGTTGGTCTGTCTGTTGACAGTTTTATTTATAAATATCCAAAAATTCATATCATTTATATCTACTGTGGAAAGTATTTCTCTGTACTTGCAGATGCACACACTGTTTTACAGTCACAGT